AGCATTGCTCATCCGGCTACCCCACCAGATTCGTGCAATGCTGCGTAGCCAGCGGTGTTCAAATATCGACAGTCTGTCTTTATTTTGTTTTCTTAATGACCAAATTTCTGCACCGTATAGCAGAACTGGCCGAACTGTCGCGGCATACACTCGACCCTTCACAAACAACCGGATATCGCGACGGCGCCACAGATGTCTCAAATTGGCAAATGCCAACCGAGCCTTCTGTATGCGAACTGACACTTCATCCGTGATGCCTCCACCGGGTGAGATATAGCTGCCCAAAAACCAAAACTTATTCACCTGCTCTATTACTTCCCCAGTTAGAGTGAGGCTGGGTGCTGGACGAACCCAGTCTTGTAGCAACATTTTACACTTTGAAAGTGCAAAACGCATACCGAATATGGCTACACTGGCATTCAAGTTATCCAGAAAAGCTTGAAGCTTACCTGGATCTACACCTAATAGCACAATGTCGTCTGCATGCTGTAGATCAGACAGCCTGCCACCTGAGAGTAAATCGATGCCACTGTCCTCGCACGAGGATAGGACTGTTTCCATAATCAGATCCATAACAAAGTTAAATAGAAAAGGAGATAGAGGGCAACCCTGTCGAACACCACTTTCCGTGATGAACTCGGATGAAAAAGTGCCGTAAGCCCGGACTCGACTTCGGTTATTACTGTAGAGGGATTGTAATATTGAAATTAACTTCTCGGGTAAACCTTTCAGAAAAAGGTAGCGCCAGAGTTTAGAGCGGTCGACTGAGTCGAAAACCGATTTCAGATCGAGGAAGACAGAGATGATGGGTCTACGAAAAGAATGCCGGTGCTCCAGAATTTGGCGCAGAGTGAAGATGTGGTCGATACAACCTCGACCGGGTCTAACACCAGCCTGGTTCTCACGCGTGCACCGTTCGCGTGCGGCAGACAATCGGCGGAGTATGATGCCAGCGAGAAGTTTAGAGACGATATTGATTAAACTAATTCCTCTATGATTTTCACAAGAGGATCGATCGATCACCTTTCTTGTAAATCGGTATGATCACCGACTCACACCATTCAGCTGGAACCTCCTCTGTTTCCCATATTGAGCCCAGGACTTTTGTCAACTCCGAGACCAACGCTGAGCCTCCATCCTTAGACAGCCTATCTGGGACAGAGGTCTTATGCCGTTTGAGATAACACATAGAGGGTGAAGCGGGAGAATGAGGCTGGATTTGGAGAACGCAAGGAGATGATTGAAGTAGGGTCTTGTATGTGTGTTTCGGGGACACGGTATACATCTAAATGGAAGGCTTCAAGGGTTCTAACTAAGGCAGCTTGTTGACCGATCTAGTAGAGTGTGCGGACGAGGAGGAGGACGAAAAGCCGACATCCGGGGTTATAACCGGGTTGCTGGACCACTGGCAGTTCACCTAGAGGAGTTGGTTGAAAACTCTGATTCCAAACCAACCAAGAGGAGGCGTACGAACCACACACACGACTTCCTGGTTTTGGCAGTGATCACCGGCTCGATTAGGCATCGAGATGTATTGGGCACCTTGGACGTTTGACCCCGTCCAAAGGGCGCACGATCCGACAAACTGGACATCGGCTCCCAATGGATTGCGGTTTTCACACACCGTCCTGTTGCCTTGCGGGTCAGACTTTGCACATTAGCACAACTACACGTTTCATAATCAGATTCATTCGGTTACCACCTAACAGCCAGGCTTTCAATGTAACTGATAACTTTTTACCTGTGTTGAAGACAGTGATGGATCAGCTACCTCGACAATGGTCTGTAGAGTTTGGGGGTGCGGTATACACCTAAGGAAGCGGAGAAATGCGATCTGATTGCCAAGTCGGTTGATTACGTGCCAAAAAGGGCAACAAAGTGTTCCAGAATGAAGAGGGATACACGGAGTACTTGGAAAATGAAATGAAAACACGTTCCGTGCACATCAGTCAACTGATGCACTAACGACCGTCGCGGAAATCAAAATATCGTTCCATGTCATGGTAATCGACCAAGTATAAGTGGATACCATTGCAGGAATGTTGCACGTGATTTGGGGTAATGCCACACCCGTGCATGAGGATCAAAACGTTGAGTATTGAGATGAAAATATTTGGGGAAAGTCAGAGTGGCGCACGAGTTTGATCAATACCTGTAATGATTGATGTGTACGTATGAGAACAATCTATCAAATCAATTAAACTCAAATGAAAGCATATAAAATGGTGTATACAAAAGTCATCGCTGAGTCATTGCTTACCGAACGACCCATGTCTGGTTTGATCAGCTGATCGGAGGAATTGAAGGACTGTTGTGGTTGCTGATGCGATGGTTGTGCGCGCGATACACTCAGCTGATCCGATCGATCGCGCATTGTTGTTATACAGTGAGCCGTCGGTGAGACCCCATAAGGAGAGTCTGTACACCCACTAGCGGGATGTGGCATTAATCCGGGGACGGAAGACAGATCAGGATGCGATGTGAAATTTGTGTAGTTTACGGATGCTGATCGGGCAGTGTGCGTGGTTGATGGTGGTGGTGGGAGACCTAAGGCACCTGAAGCACCGACCGAAATAAGGGAAGCGGTCGGATGTTGACCAGGAGGGATAATAGACACAGTTGGTGTGACAGAAGCGGTTGTGCAAGACAAAGGGGACTGTATGTATGAATGTGGTTGCAGACTGGTATTGCCACTGCCAACAGATGAAGGTGCAGTGTGATGCTGTGGTGAAGGATTGCTGTCCTGAGGAGACGCGTGCTTCCGACGTCTGGGTTTTGCTCGCTGCTCCAGTTTTTCCGGAGCTAATTTTGAGGGTTGGGGGAACGAAAAAAGTACGTATTTTAACCATTTTAAAGATTTGGATGCAACCGAAAACACATAGTTCTTTACCGTGATAGAGACGAATCAGATTAGAGGAGTTCATGAGTTCAAGAGTTTGTTGTAGGAAGTTTGAAAAAAGCTTAGGATACTGGACTGTATTGTATGGATAGGGAAGTAAGAACGAAATGATAAAGTGTATAACAAAAAGACATCCGGTGAGGGGAATGAAGGTGTTAAGCGAAAAGTGTTCACGAAAAACCAAGGATCATCTTCACATACGAAGCACACGGTGTAGACACGGTTCAACTTCGCGTATTGAATATTAAAAAAAGAAAATGTATCTAGAGAGTCGTCGAAAAATGAAAAAGGGGTTTAAAACTGGTGGTTTGTTTATATTTTAATACCGGTCTGAGAACGAGCACATTGCCGATGAAACAAGAT